AAGGAGCCAAGCATGAAGGATAAAGACCACCAACCGGGGCTAGAGGGGATTTTTTTTTCAAAGTATGTATAAAACCTAATTTGCCCTAAACATCCTACAGGTCAATGGAAATGTATTAGGTTTAGAGTTGGTTTTATTTTAGCCATGTGCTAAATGCATTTACAAACTGGAAAGTGATAAATCTGAAATTAAGCCTCACTTGTTTTGGCATTAAAGTTGGTATTATCTGTAAAAGGCTTTCTTATTTTAAATACATTTTGAAATTCTATCAAAAGGGGAGAGCCAACAGAACCCAAAAACGTATCTCTATTTTTCACCCTAGCTAGGCCACCAAGGACATGGATATTAGATGGTTTACCAGCATAAGGCTAAAGTGCATTTTCCCAGGAAACATGATTGAAACCCAACAGTTGATTAGATTCAAAAGCTCTCACCTTGAAAATTTGTGAAGTCAGTTGAGTTCACCACAACATCTGTAGTCTCATTAACAATGTCACCAAAAACCACTTCTAGTTCAACCCCACCTCGGACTTTCACAGTTATGCCAGTTAGGTCACTCTTGAGGGACTTGAAGGTGGCTGAAAAGACGAACACGACAACAAGATTCACATTTCTGATATCAACCTCCATGTCACTTGTTGAACCGTGGAAACAGTTAAATATTTGTTAAAAACACAACATTTCAAAGGTAGATTTTGTCTGAATCAAAACAGTTCAACCAGCTCTGGTTTTACCTTGACCGCTCTGCTTGATCTTCAAGCTCAGCTGTCTGTAGACCTCATGGTAGCACTGTAGATACATGTTTGGTTTAAGCACCACCTTTCCAGAAATGTTTCTACAAACAATGCACAGTACTTAAAACTAAGAACAAACGCAAACTTGCCCTTACTTTGGTAACAAGTCCTGAGATTCTCTGGTTCTAACTAATGTTAAATGACATATCCTCTGTGTTGTGATCATTATCATCTGTGCTTTATGTTGCAATATTTACAAGAAAAACACAATAAACAGATGTCATACGTGAGAAAGAGCTCGGAGATGGCAGAAGGGAGATGCTCCCTTTTAACAGAGATACAGCCTTAGCAGAAACATGCTTATGTACTGTAATTGCATTCATTTTTACTCAGTAGCTCGGGTGCTACTGTCTAACACCTTCATTCCTACCCATATTACTATCACTCTCAGCAGGGAGTAATATGTATTTAATACAATGTAATATAGTAATACTATGACCTGCTACTGCAGTAAGTGATAGTGGAAAATAAAAATTTAAAAAAAGGGTTGCTGTATACAGCTATCGAAAAAGATCAAACTCTGTCACCTCCTCAGAGTCTTGATAGTCTGGTTTAATGACAATATAGATGTTGTGAAGGGATTCACATGACCCAGATAATCCAAACTGGTCAATGCTGTCAGTCAGCACTTGAATGGCTTCTTTCTGGGGATATTTCAGAACTACCCCGGGTCCAATGATTGGAAAGGCAATTGAACACCAGCCTTCCTCTACACAGAGTTCCAAACACCTTTTTAGCCCAATAGCAAGTGTCTGCAAAGGAGAAAACAGGAAAAACTTGTCTATGCGTTGGTCTCAGGGGTAAGGAGATTTACCATTTCCATTTACTGGTTTATGACTGTGTTTTTCTTACATGTTTATGGAATTTACTGTGTTTTTACTTTACCTGCATGCTGAGGCCATCAACTCCATCCCATGGCAGACACTCAATGAAGAAGATCTTAGAGCAGCTCAGAGCCGGAGGTGCATCAACCACCATAACATTACCAGCAGAAAGGGTCCACTTCCGAGCTATCAGATGAAAGACCTTCTGCAATGGATTTCCTGCTTTTTTCAGTAGACATTTACCAACTTTAGTGGAAGTAAGCTTTTTGGATACCATGGGGGCCACCACCACATTCACCTGTAGAAATTATGTGAAATAATACTAACATGTGGGACACATGCTGCTTGAATAGAAATTGTGAAATTGTTTAGAATATATTTGTTTAACCTGTTCATCTTCCAAAGTGCTAAGCTTGATCTCCAGGTTTGTTTTGTTAACAGCTGTTGTGTTTGGTGTACTTCTGGCAGTGTTGCTTTCCAGTCTGTCTGGGTTGGAGCTGATGACGTTAATGTATAGTGGCTCTGGGTAAAGATCAGACACACTTGTGGTACTTTGAGAATAGACTTCTTGTTGTTCCCTGATGATGACCTGACAGGATCTCTCTAACAGCTCTTTGTTTTGTCTGCCTTCTTCCTGGAAGTACAATTGCACCCCCGGTCCATTTAACACCACCGTATCAGTTGACAGCTGCGCTAGACTCGTGGCTAAGTCTGTCTGAACTTTCTGAACCAGAGAACGAGGACCCTTCACCAGCACACAGGGATGTGGAACATGTGAGGCTTCCAAGGTCACATTAGATTGCTTCATGCCAATCAGGTCTAACAATTTATCGAAGCAGTCAACCAGTTCAGGATGTGACAAGTTTACCACTTCTTGAATATCAACTTCATTCTTTTGGAAACCATGAAGGACCTCATTGAGCTTGTTAACATCCTCACTGTAGCCCACCAGTCGTACTTTAGTTATTGCAGTTCCAGTAACTCCTGGCATGAAGCTCACATCCACTCTGAGCTCACTAATGTTTGCTTCTTTCTTCGCTTTCATCAGGATTTCCTTCACTCTGTCTAAATCTGGAGGTACTGCTGCAGCCCCCTGCAGTTTTACAGTGGCCACTTTGAGCTCTCTCATCACTGCTGCCTCAGCCTCATTCAGAGCATCAGAGGACAAACTGGACAGAACCACATCTGAACCCACCTCAAAGAAAACAGGGTTTTCTGAGGCTCTGCTGGAAACGAGCTTGGTATTTGGAGATGGCTCCACTGGTTTTGATGAAGGTTAGCAGAGCTGTGGGGAACTTGACTCTTTTTTCCTTTATGTTCTTAATCAGTTCATCTAGTTTTGCAGCTCCTGACTGCACATCTGTGTCAGGGCCCTCCAAAGTGATTGTGGCACTACCTCTGACGACTTTAACATCTGGATAGTTAGCGAACATTTCTCGATTGAACTCTTCTTCTATACGCCTGTACTGCTTCTCCACAATTGGCAGCTCTTTTTTGGTGTATTGAATGTTTTCCAGATCTGCAATCTTCTCCTTCACAGCATGGACCTCTCCCACAACCACAGCATAGCCATTCTCATTGTACACTTTGATGTCATCTATCTTGAGGGAGGAGTCTTGCAGCAGCATCTTGATCTTTTTTGGCTCAAATACATGATAGCAGAGATAGTTCTCATTGAAACGGCTGAAAATCTGATCCAGCTGTAGCTCCTGTTTCTCTGCAGGGCATCCTGGCTGACTCTGACTGTCACCTCTAACTACAACATTTTCATCATCAAATTTTAATTCCACCGTGCAGCCGATATAAGAGAGCTGCTTCTGGAGAATTTTTAATGCCTTGGGTTTATCTCTTAGATAATACAGGAGGAAAATATCTACGTTAAATGTCCTCTCGAGATGTTTTGTGATCACTTTTGTTGGTGCCTGAGAAAGAACCAAAAAAAAGCACATTTATCACGTTATGCTTGAAAACCAATAAGAATTCTACATTTAAAAAATACATAAACATTAAACATAAGAGATAATAAAAAATAAAAATAAAAAACATAAGAGATAAGCTTACATGGACTGAGTGTTATTGACCAAATTGGTTGTTCTTTTTCAAATGTCTATCCAAGTTATAGGTGAATGTAAGTTATCTTAGTTTATAGAAGGCTTCCACTTTCTAAAATGCTTTGGTTCTGGTCAAATAGAGTCTGCAGTATCACTAATTGTGAAAGTTTAGGCCAATGATTAAAAGCAGTTTGGTCAGTAGCAGATGACAGGTTTTTTGTTGTTTTTTTGGCAGTTTTATTTTATTTTTGTTATTTATTTCCATTTTTACAAATCAACAAGTCAACATATGTGGATACTAACTGTACTAAGTACAATTAGTACAAATATTGCTGATCTACAGAAAATTTCCTGCGCAATAGTCTCTGATAGGAAGGCAAAAATAACTCAAATAATTTGTCACAACTAAAGTATGCAAAAGAGCATCTCCGAATACACAACACGTCACTTGAAGCAGATGGGGTAAACCAGCAGGAGACTGCACCGAGTGCCACTCCTGTCAGCTAAGAGCAGGAAACTGACACGATATGTGAAGGCAAATTGCATGGATTGTTTATGTGAGGACCGAAACGCAGAGCACAGACGGGAACTGGAATTTAACTGAAAGCGTGCCATTTATTTAGGCAGATATCCTGAACGAGAAAAACATAAATTATAAACTAAACAGAGGATCAATCGCCTGAACTGGGGAAATTAAGAAAACAAGACAATTACCCATTACTAGAAAAGCCTGGTTAAACCTCGTAAACTTGGGAAGGAACACAGAAGAGCCATGGTGGAAAAAACAGACACGACAATAAAGGTTGAGGGAAAACACAATATATATAGACAGGAGGTTTCCAGGGGAAGTGGAAACACACGGGGAACAAAACTGATACAAACAAACATGACACCAGGAAGCAAAACTAAACACACTGCACAAAGACCATGTCAAAATAAAATGGGAAAAAGGCAGACTAGGACACTCTGACTTAACAAGGGAACAGGGCAGTGAGAATGGGAGACGAGATGTGGACATAACTAAGGAGCACATACAGAGGACAAGATGGGCTGGGGAGAACACATGAACACATAAACAGAGACACACCGAGAGGAGCACAGAGGACAAAGATTCAAGGGAACCTAATAAAATGTAACTAAACTGATCATAAATAAACTCAGAGATGTAATCAGAGTACATGTTTCCCAGCTGATTCATTATCTTAGTGTTGGATAAAACTGCATTTCTATTAATCAGACATGGCGCATGTTTGGATTTTGCTTTGGGTGCCTTTTTTGAATGCCTGCACCTTTCAGGAATCCACCCAAACTGGTCAGGTCAGATTACCTGACAGTACATAGTGCAAGGTTTCCTTAGGAAAAAGGAAAAAGAAAACTTACCTGTGACTGACTGGTCGCTGACTGATTGAGGGTCTGTGGAGGTAAACTTGCTTGGCTCACTGTTAAATACTGTTTTCCACCAGAAATAGAGATGGCATGAAACTTTCTCAGCAAAACCCGCTCCTGAACTGTCAAAACAGCTAAATTCAGTCACCACATGTCACGGACAAAATCTCACATTTAAAAATGTAACTGCAAGAATGAAAGAAACAAAGAATCGCAAGTAACTTAGGGCAGCATATTGTTCTTTAGCTTTTTTAGCTCTTCTAATATTCAGTTAAGATGGTGAACATCATTCAACACGATTATATGCAGGCCTGTGAATATGGACATGGTCACAGAGGTATTAGCATGAGTTTAAACTGTTTACACATATTCTTGTTTACATAAATAAAAAAAATACCTTCTTTGTCCTTGAAACAGATTTTATAGGTGTTGCCTTCAACCTCTGCAGGAATTCCACACTCACCACCTCCAGAGTCTTCTCCTCTCTGAAAGTATCTCCAGATATCCTGAATATCATTGCCAGAGAGACCTTTGACTTCAAAAAACAGGGGATGTGTGTATTTATCCATTTCCCCTAATATTCTAAACTAAAAGGAGACATTTGGATACAGTTAACTCCCTTTTGTGTCACTGCTCTGTGTGAAAATGCGCACTGAAACCCTTTTTCATCGTCTACTTTCAGTAAAGTTCCTCCTCCTTTCATTTACAAGTAGACACACCTAATGTTAACCTTAAAGGGTATTTTACAGTTTTTCTTGTTGTGCAAGTATGTGTCTTTTCTTTTTCAAATTATGCTGAAAACACTGAACATCAAAACGTGATGTTAATAATGACGCCTGACTATTGTGATGATTTGTGTTTGTCTAATGAGGAGCTTATTGATTTTATCTATCTATCTATCTATCTATCTATCTATCTATCTATCTATCTATCTATCTATCTATCTATCTATCTATCTATCTATCTATCTATCTATCTATCTATCTATCCATCCATCCACAGTCCTCACAGCCTAATGAAACACACTACATCTGAGCTCCATGAATATCAAAATCACTCAGCTTTTCATCCCTCTTGCTTGATGTCTTATGTTATTCAGATCAGAAACAGAAGCTCTGACAATGTCAGCATTTTAAAGCTATACCATGAATATTGTGCAGTGCTTTCACCCACATTTTGAGGTTGTAACTGTATTTTGCGGTGCATTTCCTTGTTTACAGTTTTTCTCAGTTGCTTTGGTGCTTTTCTCACATCACTATTAACATTTGCACAGCAGTTAGTGTATTTCTCAAAACGTTTGGTGCAAACTGCAAAACCTAGTGGATAAGCTGCAAAAGCAGGTCACTTGCTCAAAATCAATAATCCATTCCTCAAAAGCAAGTATTCATGTCAATGAAACTGTCGGTGTTATCAAAGTGAGAAGTCTTGACACCATCTTTATGAACAAGATAGTCAAATGGCTTTGTCATGTTTTCATTATGACAGTTCACAGTATTCTCTCTGTGTTTTCCAATGCAAAAAAGGTCAGAATTCGGTGACACTACCTGAAAAAGCTCAAGACAGCACTATACACTTTTTGTACAGCCAAGTACAGTAAAATCTACAGAAAAGTTAGACATTCCTGTAGTTAGGGAAGTAAGTGAGTACAAGACACTGAATATGTATGTTTCACATTTTTACTGTGTAGGCTGTTTGTAATTCTACAACATTGTGCAAAGAAAAATACTCTACAGTCACTTATTTAGAATAAACATAAGAAACACCCTTTTGGTAGAGCTGTGCACAAATCTGAACAATATAACAGTACATATTGTAACTGAACATACGTAAATCATTCTGACCACATATTAAAGAACAAAAGAGAAAGAAAAATAAAGGATTACCTGTTATTAAACCCCGATTCTTTTGTCCCCATGATAGAACAGAGAAAACCGACTCATAGTGTGTTAAAACATTTATATTTCTTTTTATTCAATCATCTTCCGGAAGAGAGAGACCCCTGCACAGCCCAAATGCCAGTTGCAGGATCTCTAACATTAGAATCATAAACTGTGTCTCATATAGGTATTATTTTGGTACTTTACACGTCACACAGTGTTCTGAAGGCAGGACTGTGATGCAGTTTTCTGCCTCGCCACTAGAGGGCGCGGCCGTTTTGTGAGTAATGTTTGACTGGGATGGAAAATGGTGTTCATGAAGGCAGTGTGAATCACAAGTTATGCTCGGGAGCAGTTTATGTGGGTTCAATGAGAGTGTGCGTCCATAAGACTGGTGAGTTACAGGATATTTCTTGTGTAAGAAGGATAGCCTGTATGTTTTCTTGCTCTGGACGTCCTCTGTTTGTACATTTTCTATAAGCTAAGTTATCGCTAAGCTAAGCTAAGCTAAGTTCGCCTAGGCCAAACTGAGTTCAGTTTGAGTTGGTGATTTGTTATGTGTATTTGCCTTCTTTAGTTGGCATCATAAGTGAGTGGGGCACAAGAGTTAAGTGATGGGAAGATGTTTATTTTCTTTGTTGTCAAATATGGTTCAGACTATAAGTAAAAGCCGCCAGCTTAGTATTAGGGCCTATAAGACAAGTATGTGGCTGTAATATGTTATATGGTGATTATTGTTGTCTATAATTTGATTGTAATTTGTGTTCTATTTTCCATTCTGTTTGTAGAACCACACACATACCCACACCCACGCTAAATCTGCCATTAAAGAGCTGAACGATCATCCCCTGTCCTCGTTATTTTCTGGAGGGTCATAGTGGCACTTGACCTGTGCACACCCTGCGATCACCACCACAACTGAACCTCATATCAGAAATCATCATAACACACAGTTTCGATACAAAATTCCTTATATGGCAAAGTTCCTCTTTTCTGTCTGGCTTCCTGTATTTATTAATATGCTTGTATAGTTCTACACTAACTTCCTGTTTTTCAGTCTGGGTGAGCACTTAGTTTATGAGTCAAAAGTGGCCTTGCTTTGCAAACCTTCATTAATAAAGTACAATATAATAATATAATAATAAACAATATAATAAGAAAATAATTACATGACACTGTCCAACAACCCAGAGAAGCCTACATTAAAAAACAGCCCCAAGAATAACTTTTCTCCTCCTGCTGGGTTTGTGTTGACTGCAGGGGTTGATACACTCTCCCGAGCATTGCAATGGCATCATCAACATTTTTTCTGCACAGACCTACAATCAAGAAAGCAGACTGCTGGGCAGTAGAGCTGATATGAGAGATCCTTGGGTCGTTCATTACTTGAATATTAAAGCATTGCAGGGCATAAGCTGACACTGTAAAGTGGTTAAAACAACAGTAAGTAAGCTTTAAATAAAATCAAAGGACAGTGGTATTATCAAAGAAAAGTTGACTTTGCATTACCTGAGTTGATCACAGCAAAGGGAAAGATCTGCATTGCTTTCTTTTTAAATGCCAGGAACACAGTGAGCTTGTTTAGTACGAGGCGAATGTTGGTGAGACGCTGGAGAGGATGGGACGAGGCAGCAGTCTTAACCCCTTGGAGGATGGCATGTGCCACAGAATCGGGGTCCAATCCACCAGATCCTGGACAACCATTCAAACAAAACTCCATAACTAACTTTGTTGTTTTATGCATCTTTAATGACTCCCACACTACTCACCAGCACAGATGGCAGGAACAGCCAAAGACTTGTAATCAGAAGACTCACAAAGTTGAATGATGCGACGAAGCAGCTGCTCGATGGCAACTGTATCTTTTTCTCCACACACGTGTAAAATGGCTTTACAAGGGAACATGCCAGGCGGTGTTTCCAAAATCTCTCCACTGTTCACATTTCCTGCATGGATGCGATAAAGACACATGAGATGATACGAATTGTTAGAAATGATTTACGATGTAAATATAAATTTGGAAATATTTCTGAGAATCATTCTTCTCACTGTTTTTTAGTGCAGCCTCAACCTGAGGCCCAGCCTTTCTTAAGATGTCTTTGCACACTCCATCTGTACATAAATAATAATAATAATAATAATAATAACCATCACTGAAATTGTTGTAATGCAAATGGACTGTAAAGGCCAGTCAGTGCTCCTACAATATCCTCTTTAATACACAATGGGTCTTGTCTAATTTATCGTGCTTGGATGGTGTTCAGCAATGAGTAACTTTTGTTTACTCATGACAGTACTTTACCTGTCTGAAAGTCTTTGAAGTCTGTTGTGTTCACCACAGCATCTGTAGTCTCATTAGTGATGTCACCAAACATCACTTGTAGTTTAACTCTGCCTTTCAGAGTTATGGTGATGTCAGCAAGGTCACTCGTGGGCGCTGAGAGGAAGAAGAGCAGATTACGTTTAATATTTGTCTCATGTTGTTGCTGTATTGTGATCTTTAGTACAAATTTGATGTAGTTCCAGTACTTTGAAGATGTTGTTTTTCTCTGATGAGGACCTGACAGGATCTCTCCACCAGTTCTGTGTTTTGTCTGCCATCTCCCTGAAAGTACCACTGCACCGCCAGTTCATTTAACACCACTGTATCAGTTGACAGCTGCGCTAGACTCGTGGCTAAGTCTGTTCGAACTTTCTGAACCAGAGAACGAGGACCCTTCACCAGCACACAGGGATGTGGAACATGTGAGGCTTCCAAGGTCACATTAGATTGCTTCATGCCGATCAGGCCTAATACTTTATCAAAGCAGTCAACCAGTTCAGGATGTGACAAGTTTACCACTTCTTGAATATCAACTTCATTCTTTTGGAAACCATGAAGGACCTCATTGAGCTTGTTAACATCCTCACTGTAGCCCACCAGTCGTACTTTAGTTATTGCAGTTCCTCTGGCTCCTGGAATGAAGCTCACATCCACTCTGAGCTCACTAATGTTTGCTTCTTTCTTCGCTTTCATCAGGATTTCCTTCACTCTGTCTAAATCTGGAGGTACTGCTGCAGCTCCCTGCAGCTCTATAATATCCGATTTAAGGTCTCTCATCACTGCTGCCTCAGCCTCATTCAGAGCATCAGAGGACAAACTGGACAGAACCACATCTGAACCCACCTCAAAGAAAACAGGGTTTCTGAGGCTCTGCTGGAAACGAGCTTGGTATTTGGAGATGGCTCCACTGGTTTTGATGAAGGTTAGCAGAGCTGTGGGGAACTTGACTCTTTTTTCCTTTATGTTCTTAATCAGTTCATCTAGTTTTGCAGCTCCTGACTGCACCTCTTTGTCAGGGCCCTCCAAAGTGATTGTGGCACTACCTCTGACGACTTTAACATCTGGATAGTTAGCGAACATTTCTCGATTGAACTCTTCTTCTACGAGCTTGAACAATTTCTCTACAAGTGGCAGCTCTTTTTTGGTGGGTAGGCTTTTTTTCAGAATTGCAATCTTCTCCTTCACAACATCAACCTCTCCCACAACCACAGCATAGCCACTCTCTGTGTAAACTTTGATATCATCTGTCTTAAAGGCCGAGTCCTGCAGTACCATTTTCACTTGTTTTGGTTTGACCACATGATAGCAGAGGTAGGTGTCGATGAGACTGGTGAAGACCCAAGCCAGCTGTTGCTCCACTTTCTCTGCA